ATTAGATTTTCAATAATCTACAATAATATTACAATAATAGCCATTGCGACCTCGTTAATATTTTGATAACACTCACTTTTAGAGTAAAATTATCGACGAAAAAATTTCTAAAAAAATAATAACAATACCAAAATGGGCTATATAAAAAAAAGCATTTGCTNATAACAATACCAAAATGGGCTATATAAAAAAAAACATTTGATCGCATATATTTATGATCAGTTAACAAACAATAAACCGGAACATATTGTGTTAGCCATGTGTTAACATGACTACTATGATAAAGAGTGAAAATTCTAGGATACCGTTAACAATTGTCTGTATTTCACAAGTGATACCTCCTATTAGACAGACCTCCGCATAAAAATTGGAATTATAACACAAGATTTAAAAACGATCCCTAAAAATTATTTTTAAATAATAACCAAAAAAAAAAAGATCAAAACATAACCTGTAATTTTTAAAAGGTTGAGCATATTGTAACTACAACGCTACTAGGGCGAATCAAAGTAATAGAATTACCAAGTAATGTTTATTATTCATTAATGTTAGTTTACCCAAAAATGTAAAAAACAATTCTAGAATTGAAATAAAAAAATAATAATAATTTTCAAATAGAGTAACTCGTGAGTATATTGTAATATTTTCCAAATTAACCAAACCAAAATATTTTAGTTTCATATTTTTCTGTTTTTCTTTAATAAAAAAGGCCGCGATTTAAATAAATACAAAATTAGTTATAGTACACCTGGCTATTTGTATACATTTTTAATTTAATTTTTTTTTTTTGTATTTCGATAATTTATACATGATTGCTATTATAATAATAATTTTAACAACAATCTTGTAAACTATAGTTTCGTTACTATGTATTTTAATACAATTGACACCACAATAACAAAAAAAAGGTAGATTACGATTTAAATAGCAATATTTAAAGTTGCAAAATTTTCTTTTATCAAAAACCAGACATTCAAATCGAAATGAACAAATTATGTAATATAATTAAATATATAAACAATCATCCACGCAATGAAACGGTATACAACCTACAGTTTTTAAGAACTGAACACGTGTACTTAACAGAAAAATACATTTTATTTTATAATACTTATGCCAAATGTAACAAATTATGTTACACAAGTAATAATATGAATTGTTTTATTTTTCTAAGCATATTTATAAGTTATAAAAATAAAATAACTGACAGTTTTTAAATATTGCTACTAAATATGTATTATTGTTTACACATTTTTTGTTATTTTGTTGTTAAGTGTTGTATATGTTTGTCAACCTAGTATAAGTTTTTTGAAAATAATGTAATAAATAGTTATAGTAAATAATTTAGAAAGTAGATGTGCTAAAATTAATTGTTATCTTTACTTTGCCGTTAATAAATTTAAGAAGAAATGTTAAACATGGAAATCAAAAATCATTTTGTATTAATTCTATAATTAATCACATGCACGTCCACGTCAAAAGCATGTGACTTATTCACATACTCGATTATAATCAAATACAGGAGTAATAAACTAAATTTTAGATACAAAAACAAGCTCATTAAATATATTTAATATATAAATTTAAAACCAAAATAAAAAATATCTCTAAACGTGTAATAAATTAAGGTGATTACAATTACGTCGATATGGTCCAATAGCTTCCCTACTTAATACACTCCAACATAAGAAACTGCGTGTCATTTAAGCACTTGAAATTCCAGACATTATGAAATATTAGTACTCGTCATTTTATAAATTATAAAATCATATATGATCAACAGTTAAGATTTAATTTGACATAAATATACATTATTAAGATAATTATCTTCAAAGTTACCACTCGATATTCAAAATTCAGATTATTAAAAAATTATCTTTATATTGAAAGGTTTTTTCGAAATTTTATTCAGGAAAATAACTAATAAAAAATATTTCTTCTTCAAACAAAAAAAAATTAGTTACAAAAAAGTCAACGCTGTAAATTACAGTGTTTTATTTCGCTTATTATTGGTTTTTATTAAATGTTTTTTATTTTTTAAATTTCACAATCAAATTTAAATAATATCAACTAACTGATTAGGCAAGAAAAATTCTAATTTAAGTATTTTATAAGACTGTAGTACGACCATCTATGATGTATGGTTCAGAGTGTTGGGCAGTTGACAAGGAAGTAGAGCAAAGAATGAGTGTAGCAGAGATGAGAATGCTTAGATGGATGAGTGGAGTGACTAAAAAAGATAGAATAAGAAACGAGCATATAAGAGGGAGTATAGGTGTAGCGTCAATCGTGGATAAAATGAGAGAAAACAGATTTGGATGGTCTGATCATGTTATGAGGAAAAAGGAATCGGAAGCTGTAAGAACAGTTATAGAAATGAATGTTGAAGGAAAAAGTGGTAGAGGAAGACCAAAAAAGAGATGAAGGGATGTTATTAAATGTGATATGAGGACGGCTGTAGTAAGCGTAGATGATGAGGAATACCATGTCAAGTGTAAGTTTAGATTAGGATGGCCGACTACAAGTAGTTGGGATAAAAGTGAGGAAAAAGAAGAAAAGTAGAAAAGTTAATTATTAATAATAACAATTATTAAATAAGATGTATTATAAAGAAAATGATAAATATTCAAAATATAAAATCAATTTTATTTCATTCTTGTTAAAATATTTTGATAATAAATATTTTTTGTGTTTTTTAATTATGATACTTTAAGCCTTAGTATGAATATATGAAATAATATTAATTTTTTTAATTATAGGCAGTACATAGAGTTCACATTTTTATTTCTCATAAGAAGTTTTAAAAACTCAAATATCACTTTACACAAATATGACTGAATATAAAATAAAATGATAATACTGTACAGGTTGGCGAAATCGAGAATAAGACGACCTACATAGAAGAATGCGAGCTCAATAACGCCTGGAGACTTCAACAGCCTCGTAGCATTCGAGAGAGTTAGAATTATGTAAGTTGTACACTTATTCGTATAATAAATAATCACATGTGTAATTTTCTATGATATTCACGTTTTGATGCTTATAATTTCTGCAGTATTGCGGTAAATTTTAATGTGCTTCTATATCTTTAAAATTTTTAGCAAAACTTGGTTATATTAAATCCAAAATATAAATTTTAATTAGTTGAATAATGTTATTTAATTACCCTATACATTAATCATTAATAATGGTAATTATTAATGTTCCTTATTTCTTAATAGAATATTTATGGTGTATCAAACACACAAGTGCCAAAAACTAGTTATTGTTTATAAAACTGGTACTAAACTCAACAATGACTGATACCATTTCTCTAGTTAAAAATTAAAAATAAATTTATCTCAATTTTGTTATTTTAAATTACATAGAGTCAAAAATTATAATTAATGAGTTTTATGATGCACTAATGGAAAACGAAGGAGCTCATTCAAATCACAGTTTAACATACATGAACACTGAAGTTAAGCTGACGCCACAGAGAGAGAGATGGGAACATTGATCGTTCAGCAAATGGAATCATGTGTGACTAATTCTCAAACCTTACCAATGTGCATTAATTAATTGCCGCCTAAACACTCGATCACATCATCCCCAATCAATTAATGTAATAGATACAAAACATTTTTACAATTTTTAATAATTATAGTAACTTTATTTTATCTAATTTTATTCATATTTAATACTACTTTTACTACTAGTTTGTATCAATAAAATTAAACTATATATATAAGCAGGAAAAATTAATTTAAATTTAATCCAAGTTGGTATAATTATAGGTGTAAAGCTATAATAGTTGATATAAGTATCATTCTACTTCATAATGTTATAGTTATGATACATAATGTACATAGGATATTATGATTGAGAAGCCATTAAACATATTGCTGGGTCAATGCCTATATAATATTCTTTGACACTTCAAACATTCCTTTCTGACAAACCTAATTGACTGGAATGAAATATTAAATAAGCTGTGCCTTTAAAAGTGAGTTATGTACGCAGGTACTTTAAAACGTGATTATGAAATTAAAACTGACCGTCGTTAGATATCCACCATTTATAGCAATTTAAGCTACATTAATATTATACAAAGTAAATGATATTTCACTCCAAAGGATACGAGATCATAAGTAATGTTGTGGATCAAATTATACTAATATTTCAAAGACAATGAACGTATACGTTCATTGTCTTTCATTTTGTCTTATAAGACATAATATAGAATCTTTCAGAAGTAAACATTCGTACATTTTTAATGTAGATAATCATTAATTATACGACTACACCTAAGTAATATAACAAAAATATCTTCAAACTATATTGAGTCATATTTTCTAAAAAAGATAATACATAATTTCCTCCCTAGTTTTGAGTGATCATGAAACTGACATTAATTGTATTATTTAAGTTATATCTCATATAACTGAAAGTATTTCTTTAATAGTCAAAATAATTATTTATTATTGATGCTTAGTTTATCATTCGGACTGGAAATCAACTATTTTTTAATAAAATTAGGGTATAGATTAATAAAAATATAACATAACATATAGCACTTAAAAATAAAAATCAATATAATCTCTGAAACAAAATTACTCGAATGAAAAACTAACATTTAAAATTTTAAAAGAATGCTAAAAAAAGTGGATGTACATCGCATTGTAAGTTCAAAGAAGCTCAAAATCGGGAGGTCGAAACTTTGAAATAATTTAAATCGAAATGCTTTTTTTGAGATACGACCCATACAGTTTATTCAGATTAGAGCAACTAACCTTCTAAAAACTGAACACGAGGTGTTTTTCGAAAACGTGATTTTTAAAATTATACGTGACTAAATAGTAACCAAACAATATTAGTAAGAAATATTTGTCGTAATCCTGGAAACTAACTCTACAACATGTACACACTATATTCTTATTGTTAAATTGATTTATAACATTAATCAGGGAAAATTCTATCTAAAATTCATTTTAGATAAATGTACTTTTGTTGTGTAAAAATATACATTTAATATAATAAATGCTCTAACAGCAATTTAAAATTAAATTTTACTGTAAATATATTGTAATTAAACATGTCTCTGATTTGTTTATGAAGAAAATAACGTTACTTTAATACTTTAATTATTAATGGATGATATATTTTAATTAACGTTTAATAATAATTTAGTAAATTATATTTATTGTTTGATAAAAATATTTAAAAAAATGGAAAAACTATAAATGTCCTTTCAAAAATTTTATTCAAGTTGTGCCTATGGAGTTCAACTATTTTTAAAGAAACCTAATTACCAGATTGGGGTACAACAATGCAACTTAGAACTTCAATTTGGAGGATAAGATTAGTGTCGTTTTCACAGTAGTTCTTTGGCTTTAACCCCTAGAAACATTAGCAATTTTCAAAAACTAATTAAAATTGATGGTGGTAGAAAAAAAATATTAAGCAATACGGTAGAACAGCTTCCTGTCAGGTTTATTATACATAAATATGAACCGAGTATGAAACTACAGGCAATTTTTTTTAAGCGACGACCATGAGTATATAAAAATATAGAATTATTCTATAATATTCAGCATAATAGTACACAAATTAATAAATTAATAGTGAAAAAATTTTTATCTATACGTGAAACAGTAATAATGACAATACTAACATAAATATATCCCTAAAACTTTTGCTGTTCAATTAGTATCTAAATATAAATATTTCAAATGAGAGAGGAATTCAGCTATTACAAGTTAACGTCTTCAGACAATTCATTTTGAACACAAATTACATCATAAGAATTTCTAAAACAACATGTTATAGAAACATATAAACACGTAACTTTACAAAAAAGCCAAAAAACAATGGATTGTCTACCAACCTCTCAAATCAAGGCTAATTAAGAATTAATCATTTTGAGTAACTAAAGTAAATAACAAAATATTAAACTAAAATTTAAACGATTACTGTTTGAGCTAAAGTCGTAATAGATTTTAACGTATAATCTTCAAAGAATTATTACAATTTATAATTACATAATTAGTTCACTTTAGTGTCTAACGAAGAATAGTTCTGAATATTATAAATTATAAGTTAATTAATAGAAGAAAATTAAAAATAAAAATTACCTAAGATTAGGCGAAATCAATATAAAGCTAATAAGATGGTATGTACTTGAAATTAAGAACTAATACCACTGATATCTTGACCAGCTACTTTTAGTATATACAAATTAATTTATAATGAAGATTTGTGCGATTACTGGTATAGTAGTTTTTTCTAATATGACACTAACAGTAATTTCATGGCCGACTTACTAATAAAATTGATTTTTCCTCTTATATATTCTATGATAGGATCATTTGTAAAATTTTTATTCTGGAAAAAGTGCAAGACCAAGGTTTACATTATATACTCGATCAAATAGGTAACAAATTCATTATACTTGGGTTATAAAACCGAACAAATTGCAATAAATTGTGACATTTATCTTGATATTGTTTTCTCAGTAATGTACTATATTTTTTAATGATTTGTTAGAAACTTAAGCGTTAATTTAGTCATGAAAAATCACATACATAAAATGTATACACACATTATTTATTTAAAACTTACTCTTAAATTATTTCAACAATATCATGGTATCCTTTTAAAACACAACTCAATACATTTTGTAGTACTAAATCGATGCAATAACACAATCTTTTAAATTTTAATAAACATACACATTTTTTGACATATTTTAAATGAAAATTTCAAATCGCACTCGTTCTTATAAATTTGTTTAACTCTTAGGCAATAACGACACACACGACATAGCTGACGTTCAACGACTGAACGTACAGAACGTGTTGTATACAAATAGTGAAAAAGTAGGAAGGGGTGTGGAAGGCGACCGAACTCGTTTCGACGAGGTTACCGCTTACCTGTAGTAAACAAAGCTATGAAGACCATGTTGTCTTTGTGAAGAAAACTGTTTGCTGACCCAAAATGGAATAGTAGACTCTTAAGAACCTCTTAATAAAAATAAGTATCTGGCTAACTATCTAAAACCTAGTTCAATACTAATATACATGTAATTATTGCTAAGGTTTATACGCGTTTATAAATTTTGTTAAGTTATTCAGAACACACCATTAGCCAATACAAATTTATATTAATTGAAAACTTAGTAATAGGCTGTTATCGAGGTTATAGTTTTGGTGGGGGAGAAGGATTAGGTTGTTTGTCTCCATGTAAAACAAAAAACTACTTCTATGCTACTAAATAATCCTATGACAAGATTGCACAAACTTAAGACCCTTCAAAGTAGCTCGAATAAAAATTATAAATACATATAATTCCTAGCCTACTATATAATTAAGTTAACTTGTAGCGGACTTAGATTAAAAAGTCCGGAGTAGAGACGTATTTTGAACTCATTTTGGAGAGGGCCTGAATTTTTTTTATTATAGTAAATATGCTAAAGATTATTTACTAAAATTATTCAAAAACAAATTAATAACTAAAAAAAAAAAAAATATTAAAAGACACATTTCATAAATATTGACTTCATAAAATATTGATAACACTCGTCCATAGAAGTCGATTCATAAGAAAAACTTAGTATCGTATTATACATTTTTTACGGGGTTCTAGATACTTTTTAGAACGTAGAGTAGTGAAAAGATACAAGCCTTCACTACCATAGTCATAAAATATACAACCTCTGTAAATACACCACTGGTCCATGGATATTTTTTTAGGAAGACAGAAGAAATATTTTTATAATTTATATTATTTTTATCCAAAATATTTCTAGAACTATCATTTTCAGTAAAAAATTAGGTTACGATTAAGTTTTGAGGGGTGGAGCTGCAATGCCTCAGACCTCTCCTGATAATAGCCACTAACGCAACTAGACTAAAATTCATCTTCACAGATTCGTCAGGGTCTTCATTACCGCATAGCTCTATATTGGTGTCAAACACGATATCTGTACGATACATAGGTTGAATATTTTTATATTTATATATTAATTCTTTTGATATTCTAAAAATGATTTTATGATTTTTATATTATATTAATTTAACACTAGTTCATAATTTCCAAACCAAAAATTTTATCAATGTATAAAATAAAATATAGATAAACTCTCAATATTTTGCTGGGATTTATTTTACTCCAGTTAAAATATATAGTTCAATATTAATTTAATTCCAATAGTACCACCTATTTAAAAGCATAAGGATTATTAAAAAATTTGATCAGTTTTTTAAAAAAATTATCAGAATATTTTAAGAAAAATACATGTAACTTACGACACTGTGTTTAATTGTATTTAATATAATATATATGCAATTTATATTTATATTTAAATTTAATAACTCATGTTAACATAGCGAAAATTTTTTAACCTTGGAATTAATAAAATCAGACAAAATAAAAAAAATATCGGCATTTGCCTTATAATTGTAAGGTTATAATATACATTATTATACAATTCCCCTCCACAAGTAAATATTTTACAATTAGCCACAGGCGATTCGAACCTGCTACCCTAACCGTGAATAACCACAATAATTCGTTGCTTTCGTCTTTAATAAAATAAGCAATTTAAACTAATTCAAATTTTAGTTACTTTTTAGACTTTAAAAAGGCAAAATTTTTAAATAAATTTAACTTCTTATGTCTTTTGAACTTTATTCTAAATAATAATATAAGCTTTAATTTAAGACTAAATAAAAGTGTTAATATTTCCGGAACATATTCAAAAATTGAAAAAGCATAACTTGTGTGCAAAGATTGTTTTTTTTAATTCCTTCTGTGGGCAGGTTTAGAGTCAGATTTTCAAAAAAATTATATCAAATGAAAAAAAATATCTAAGGTTTCAATATAAAAAAAAATAATTTTAATGTGTTCATTTTTCAAAAAGTTATAGTTAGTTAGTTTAGCAGTTTTACATATTGAAATATTTTATGTTAAACAGTGATTTTTACATAAAAATTTTAAGTTTCGTTAAATTCGATAGCCATTTTCCTATAGAAGAAAAGGTGTCAGGACAAATTTTTTTTCTTATTATTTTATAGTATTTATTGTAAGCTTTAATTTAACATATGTTCAATGGACGCAGTATTTCCGAAACATTTTCAAAAGTTAAGTTGAAAAATTTCTACTTTTTATACGTATTTTTCAAGTTTTGGAAGTGTCCTGTATAAAAGAAAATTGTCCAATTTAAATAAAATGTATGTTAAATGAAAAAGGTATATATAATGTATTTAGAAAAAAAATGTTTTGTTGATACATACATTATTCAAAAAGTTATAGCAGTTTAAAGTTGAAAATTTTAACAAAAAAATAGCATTTTTTTAACTACGGCAGCCGTTTGCACGTAGAAGATAAGGTGTCAGGACAAATTTTTTTTTTTAATTTTATAGTATATGGCATAAACTATAATTTGATATACGTTTAAATAATGCAGATTTCCAGAACATTTTTAAAAGTATGGTTGAAAAAGATGAGAAGGGAAAATTCCAAATGAATGGAGGAATAGTATTATGGAGCCGATATTTAAACGTGAAAGAGACATATAGGAGTGTGGAAATTATAGAAGCATAAAGCTTATGAGTCATAGAATGAAAATTTGGGAAAAGATAATAGATAAAAGAATAAAAAATGAGACATCGGTATCTAAAAACCAATTTGGATTTATGCCTGGTAAATCAACTATGGAGCCAGTATTTTGTGTAAAACAACTAATAGAAAAGTTTAGGGAAAAGAAGAAAAAGCTGTGTATGTTATTTATAAATTTGAAGAAAACGTATGATAGAGTACTGAGAGAGGTTTTAAAGTTGACATTAATGAGAAAAGGAGTCCCGAAAGGTATATTAATATAATAGAAGATATGTATGATGGCACTTGTATCAGGGTAAAAAGCGTAGGAGGAGTAAGAGAAGGTTTTCGGGTAAGAAAAAAAGGGGATCAGGATACTGCTTTAAACCCTTATTTATTCTCTATAGTGATGGATGAAATTATTAGAAAAATACAAGGAGAAGTGCCATGATGCATGTTGTTTGCTGATGATATAGTGATAATAGGAGAAAATAGGGAGGAAATTAATCAAAGATGATTAATTTCTAGCTTTAAAGGCTAGAGGCTAAAGGCTAGAGGTGTGGAGATCAGCTTTTGAAAAAAGGGGTTTAAGAATAAGTAGAAGTAAGATAGAGTATATAGAGTACGAGTTTGACAAAGGAGAACACGAGGTAGGTGAAATGAAGAGGTGAGTGACAATAGGCGAGGACTTGACTGGAGAGGAGGAGAGTTTTAAGTATTCAGGGTCAGTTGTGCAAAAGAGTGGTGATATTGACGAGGATGTAAGACACAGAATTAAGTGCGAGTGGTTGAAGTGGAGAGAAGCGTCAGGCGTCTTATGCGATAAAAAAATTCCAATGAAGCTGTAACATAAATTCTACAAGACTGTAATAAGGCCAGCTATGATGTATAGTTCAGAATTTACAATTTATGAGGTATTTAATACCTAAATCCTTACTATAACTTTTTATAGGATTTTTTGATAATTTGTAAAACTATTAGTGTAACTGTAAAATTATAATTATAGTTTACATTCTATTCACATTTAGTCAAAAAATGTAACTGTTTTAAATTTATTATAGATAAAAGAATTCCGATGAGACTGAAAGGTAAATTTTATAAGACTGTAGTACGACCAGCTATGATGTCTGGTTCAGAGTGTTGGACGGTTGATAAAAAAGTAGAGCAGAGATGAGAATGCTTAGATGGATGAATGGAGTGACTAGAAAAAATAGAATAAGAAACGAGCAAATAAGAGGGAGTATAGGAGTAGCGTCAATCGTGGATAAGATGAGAGAAAATAGATTTGGATGGTCTGATCATGTTATGAGGAAAAAGGAATCGGAAGCTGTAAGAACAGTTATAGAAATGAATGTTGAAGGAAGAATTGTAAGAGAAAGACCAAAAAAGAGATGAAGGGATTGTTTTAATTTTAGTCTTTAAATCTCTAGGTGTAAATAAAAACTAATTTTAATTAAATAGAAATTATGTTTATTCTATAATACAAGAAAGCACACTTTTATTTTATATTTATTTTAAAATTAAAACAACAACTTATTTATTTATCAATGCAAACATTATAAAAGCAGTGTTACCACTGCAACATCTCTTTTTTTTTTTTTTTTTTTATAGAAATTACTTTAAAATTAATTTTGCTATCAATTAACAAAAATAAATTAACAATAATACAAGTACAAAATAATACACATCATTTTATTAAAATACATAATCATTATACTTTTGTGGTTTTTTGATTGTTCGTTTATTTTTTACTACATTATTATCATTCAACTGTACCTCACTACTTTCTTTATTATCTATAGGTTTATTATTAGTTTCCTCTCTTGCATTTGAAAATCCATCATTATCCTCCTCATAAATTTCAATATTTCTCCTCCTTTTTAACCATTTCACATTTCTCCTAATTACACTTCCTGTTAATAATTTAATTAAGAAACTTCTAGGATATTTGAGTTTTTTAATTATAGTTCCAGGTTCCCAAACCTTTTTGAATTTATCTTGCACATATACTAGATGTCCTTCCCTAAACTCATAATTATTAAATTTAGCAGTTTTATCATACCATTCTTTTTGTTTTTGTTTATTTTTTAACATTTCATCATAACATTCTACAACATTTGGTTTTAAGTTATTATCTTTCACTATTAATGTACTCCTAAGTTCTCTACTTTGTAAAAGTTGGGCGGGGCTATAAGATAGACCAGCAACGGGTGTATTTCTATACATAAGTAAACACAATTCAAAATCCAAACCTGTATACAAGCACTTTTTTAACATATTTTTAGCTATCCCAACTCCTTTTTCTGCAAGCCCATTGCTCTGTGCATGCTGTGGACTTGTGTTGGTAATTTTAAAATTCCACTCTTTAGCAAACTGATGAAAGTTAACACTACCAAAAGGCATATTATCAGCTACGACTTCATTTGGTATGCCAAATTTACTAAATACTTCTTTTAACTTAATTACTACTGATTCACTTGTTTTAGAACCTAATTTAATAACCTCTAGCCATCTAGAATAGTAATCCTCAATAATTAGGTAATTTATTTTATTATACTCAGCAATGTCTAGTGCAATTTTATAAAATGGAATATTAGGTATAAAATGTGATTTTAAAGGTTCTTTAGTTTTACTAGAGCTAAATTTTAAACATACTGGACAAGCACTAATCCAATTTTCTATCTCATTGTTTATACCTGGATAGTAAAATAATTGTTTTGCTCTAGCTTTTGTTTTACTTATACCAAAATGTGGTTCATGAAGCTTTTTAATTATATATTGTCTCATAACCTTAGGAATAACTAGTCGACTACCATAATAAATTAATCCATTCTCCAAGTATATTTCATTTCTCAATTTCCAATAATGTTTGAGTTCACCCTCACACTTAACCTTAAGCCAACCTTTTTTACAAAATTCCATAATTTGTTTTAACACCTCATCATTTCCAGTATTTCTCTTAAACTCATCCTCCTTATCATTTGAAAAATTAATTTGTATTTCACTAATTGCATGAACTACATCATTTACTATCGTTTCACCGGTTACATCTCTTTTAATATAATTCCTGCTTAACAAATCAGCTACATACATTTCTCTACCTGGGAGATATTTCACCTTAATATCATACAACATACATTTCATTCGTAATCTCCTTATTCGATTATTGGGAATTTTGTTCAGTTCTTTTAACATAATTGAAACAAGAGGTTGGTGATCAGTAAACACAGTCACTTTTCTTCCATAAATCAATGAATGAAACTTAGTACATGCAAAAGAAATAGCAAGCATTTCTTTTTCTATTTGAGCATATGTTTTCTCAATTTCACTCAGACATCTCGATGCATAATATATAGGCCGCTTGTTTTGGAAAATACAACAGCCCAAAGCCCCCTCAGACGCATCACATTGTATTTCTAGGTCTTGATCGTTATTAAAATTAGCCAATATTGTCACATTACATAGACTCTCCTTCAAATCACAAAATGCCCTTTCACATTCAACACTCCAATTCCACAAAACATTCTTTTTTAGAAGCTCTCTAAAAGGTTTTAATCGTTCCGATAAATTAGGTAAAAATGCTCTTAAATAATTTATCATTCCTAAGAATGATTGGAGTTGTTTTTTATTTATAGGTGTTGTTAACTCTTGTATAGACTGAATTTTATCATTATCAGGTTTTACTCCCTTTTCATTAAAAATAAATCCTAAAAATTTAACTTCATTAGTTGCATATTGTAATTTCTTTGAATTAAACTTAATATTATATTTTCGAGCTCTTTCCAATACTCTACAAATAATTTTATCATGTTCCTCTCTAGAACTAGCACACACTAATAAATCATCAAAATATATTAATACTCCTGGAATATCACCAAAATATTTCATCATTAGTTTTTGAAAAATCTCTGGTGCCATTGACAAACCAAATGGTAAACGCTTAAAACTATATGATCCAAAAGGACTACTAAAAGTACACAACTTAACAGATTCAGAATCTAATTCACAATGATAAAAACCTTCTTTTAAATCAAACAAACTATAAATACTTTTATTACTAAGGACAGATCTCATATCATCCAATAGGGGTATTTGATACATTTCCCTTACCACATATTTATTAATTTCTCTTGGATCTAAACATAATCTGAGAGATTTATCAGGCTTTTCAATAATTACTAAATTACTTTGCCACTCACTTGGTTCACTGCTTTCTTGAATAATATCTAGTTTAATCATTCTATCTAGTTGCTCTTTTAACTTAACCATTAATTTATTTGGAACTCTCCTAGGTGGATTACATTTGGGTATAACACTATCAACTAATTTAATATTTATTTTATCAGGAAATTTCCCTATACCTTCAAAAACATCCTTATTTTTAGAAATAAAATTTTCCTTTATATTATCCCTTATAATAGTTTCAATCTCATTCACATCTTTTTTAATATAATTTAAAGCTATACATGCTTCATAACTTAATAATGGTAATCCCTCATAATTTACAATTTCAAATACTCTATTACACTTATAATATCCATTTTTTAATTCAACTAAGACTTTACCATTCGATTTTGTTAAATAACCTCCAAATGATTTGATTACAACATTACTATTATCAATATTTACATTTTTTAATTTATTAAACAATTTAGAAGGCATTACATTTAATTCAGCACATGTATCAAGTTTTATACTTGTTTTATAATCATTAATTATAATTTCTCCAATCCAAGATCTATTTTGTTTTTTCACTTCTTCTGAACACATGATTTCAAGAGCATCTAACGACACATAATTCTCAACACTATTAGCATTCTCAAAACTATTTACTTGTTTTTTACTATAAATAAATTTTTTATCCTTTTTACACATAATTTTAAAATGATTTACACCACCACAATTACTACATATTTTTTTAAATGCTGGACACATATTAATTTTATGACTTTTGCCACATCTTGTACAATTATTAATAAAATAATTTTCCTTATTACTAATTTTTTTAGACAACATACTATTATTTTTAAAACCTGATTTTGAATTTGATTCCTGTGCTGACTGACCATATGAAACTGTTCCATGACACTCCTTTTGATTTGTTTCAATGTTGAATAATGACCTGGTGCTTCCTTCTTGTATTGTTTTTCTGTTGATTTCCATCTGTTCCGCTGCCCGGCAGTGATTGACTACTTTATCGAGTGACAGGTCCTCTCTCAACAAACTAGCCTGGACGTCTTTGTTGAGTATTCCTAACACAATTTGTGTTCGTAACAATTTATCTTCACAAGTTTCCAAACCACAAGTTTTGATCAATTTTCTTAAATCAGTATAAAAATTGTCGAATGGCTCTTCCGCTCCTTGCTTACGCGAAAAAAATTTATAATGCTCCATGATTTCATTTTTTCTTGGGATGCAATAATTTTCCAATGCTTTTAATATTTCACTTACTGTTTCAGATTTAATTTTAAGTGTATTATACACTTTTATTCCGTCTGTTCCAATTAAGTTCAACAGAATCGCTGCCTGAGTTTCTTCTTTTTTCGAGGAACACTCAGTTGCATTATAATATATTTGGAATTCCTGTTTAAATATTTTGAAATTTTCAATCAAATTTCCAGTTAATTTCAACGGTTCCGGTTTGTTGAATTCCATTTTACATCCACTTTAATCCACAAAACTTTATATTTAAATTTTTTTNTAAAAAAGTAGAGCAGAGATGAGAATGCTTAGATGGATGAATGGAGTGACTAGAAAAAATAGAATAAGAAACGAGCAAATAAGAGGGAGTATAGGAGTAGCGTCAATCGTGGATAAGATGAGAGAAAATAGATTTGGATGGTCTGATCATGTTATGAGGAAAAAGGAATCGGAAGCTGTAAGAACAGTTATAGAAATGAATGTTGAAGGAAGAAGTGTAAGAGAAAGACCAAAAAAGAGATGAAGGGATGTTATTAAATGTGATATGAGGACGGCTGTAGTAAGCGTAGATGATGAGGGAGATCGTGTCAAGTGTAAGTTTAGGATTAGGATGGCCGACTACAAGTAGTTGGGATAAAAGCGAGGAATAAGAAAAAGATTAGTGTAACTGTAAAATTATGATTGGTAGTTTACATTTTATTCATATTTAGTCAAAAAATGTAACTGTTTTAATACTGAATTTATTATAGATATATTTGTATAGGGATAGCTTGGAGATATTTTTATGATAGCTATAGATCCATACTCTATTTCATAAGTTTGGATAATAGACTTGCCGGGAAACTTCTCTACCACATTGCTATATTTCTTCTTTGTCCCTTCAATACATTCAATTTATTTGTGAGGACTGCAAATTTTTCTATGTATTAGTGTAAATTAGTTATGTAAACTATGTTAATGATAATTTGAGAGAATAATGATGAGAGAAAATAGATTTGAATGGTTTGATCATATTATGAGGAAAGAAGATGGGAAGCTGTAAGAACAGATATAGAAATTAATGTTGAAGGGTGAAGAGGTAGAGGAAGACCAAAAAAGAGATGGAGGGATGCTATTGAAGGCGATTTGAGGACAGCTGATGTGTGAGCGTAGATGATGTAGCAGATCGTAGCAAGTAGAAGTTTAGAATAAGGGTGGCCGACCCCAAGTAGTTGGGATTAAGGCGAGGAAGAAAAAGAAGAAGTTGAAAAAGATAGTTTTTGTAAAAAAGTTTCTATTTTAAATCCACCCCTGTGAGCAGGTTGTGTTAGATATTGGTTGTCTATAAAAGTAGAATAAAAAACAATATAGCCTCCCATATTTTTTACACCTATGCAAACTATATACAATTATACAGAGTGTTTAGTAAGGAAACGAGTTCTATTTTTCTCATTGTTTGTAACAACTGATCTGATTCCTTACTTTAAACATTCTGTATACATAATATACTAACAATTTGAACAATAAAATTACTTAGCAGTATTATGTAATTTTAATTGTGCAATGGTTCATACAAATACTTTCGTCTTAAATTTTATATTTTATATTAATTTTATTTAATTTAATTTTAGATTTTATATTGATTAAAAAAAAATTGAAGTATAAATTAATAATTACACAAAGATTTTTTATTCAATTCGTTTATTCTTATTTCGTTGTAAATTATGATAACAACTAAATAATACTTCGTGATAGTGTTACAAAGTGAATAAAAATGTACGAATAGTTAATATTAACCTGAAAATGGTATGCAATTTACTTATTTTTAAGTATTACTAAAATTAAGTAATTTACAAATTGTAGCCAATAGTACTGCTACAATTTGCTAGTTTTTTTTTCCCATTTAATTGGAAATGGATATTAAATCACATGAAAATTCCTTTAACATACAAACGTCAGATCCTTGGTCAGTACATGTAATAAGTCCAGAAAATAAATCGGTAAACGTTCACTTTGAAAATAATTTTATTCCTATAGAGCAACAAACTAAATCTTTTCAACCTTTACCTGATACTGAAGAATATTTACAGTGTTTGGGTAAGACCTGAGCTATATGAGATTTTATTGCATGTATATGTTATGTAATAAAGAAACACTTATATGTGTTTTGTATATAAACTTATATGGTATCTTATTTTTATTAACATGAATATTGTTTATTAGAACGTAAACTAGATAAGTTAAAAAATTGGTCAAAGTCTGATCAGTCAAAGGGCAGACAGATAATTGATCAGTTGTGTGACGCTCGGAGAACTTGCCTTGAAAATTTAGTTGATTCTAATCACATTATATTTGAACAAGATCATTCAGACTTACAACCCTCAGGTTTGTCTTCTTGGATAAATCCAGAACAACCATTATCATCTATTGAAACACAAAGGTTAATTGAACCTGATACCCAAGATGAATGAATTTTGGAGCAGACGAACTTGTGTAATACTCACAGGTGCAAGTAAAGGTATTGGACAAGAATTAGCTGTCGAAATAAGCCGTCTGTTAATTCCTGATTCTGCTATGGTGTTAATTGCCAGAAGTACGGTTGGTCTAGAAAATACTAAATATATGGTTAATAAAGAAAATAAAGATATATTTGTTGAGGTAATTTTTTTTTATACATATATTTTTAATAATTAAATATAAGCTATTAGTTTTTAACCATTTTATTTTATAATATTACAGTATTATAGTGTTGATTTATATAATTCTAATGCTTTAATGTTTGAAAAAATTCTTGAGCCTATTGATCAATTAAAATATGAACTTTATTTGCTAATTCATAATGCTGGATCAGTTGGTAATCTTGATCATCTAGCAGCTGATATGAATGATCCAGACGAATGGAATAGGTATAATTAATTTTTTGTTAAATTTTTATTGTACTAATCTATTACTTAAATTGTTATAACTAATAACTTTACATTATGAAACCATATAAAGGGATAAATATAGCTGATTTACAGTTTACTAAAAGTCAGATATCTTACTAAGAATGTTTGAACCAGAAGTGTAGGTAAGGGGTATGTGTTTAAAAGCTCTCATTACAAAATTATTTACATCTTATCAAATTATAATGAAAATAATGGTATGAAGATTTCTGTGATATCAAAATCATCCCATAAATAATTTATAACTACGCCTCTAGTTTGTACTAATTATCTATAATCTTAAAAGATGTTTTCGAACTAAATACTTTGATTATAATTATAATAATTTTTAAAAATTTTTTATTTAATTTTATTATTTTTAAGTTTTTAATGGAATAAGTATAAAAAAATTAAATTTAACAACATGTTAAATTAAGCGATTTTGTTTTGAATGTCAAGAAATACATACAAAGTAGATTATATACTTTTTTAGTTTTTAGGTAAATATTGTATTATACTATGAATTGTTAACTAAATGATAAATATACTTAATAGATCATTTTGCCAAATATTGGAATTATATCAGAATCTAATAGCATAAAAAACAACAAAATTACATTTTATAACTCTAAAAATTTTCTATTAAAGATTATAAATATATATATTTATGAGAAATAATGAATTTATAAAATAATGATCATTATACCATTATAAATATATGAAACAATCTTTTAAACAAAATTTAGACTAAAATTTGTATATTAATTCAAAATTGTGTATAAATATAGTTTAGTGTCCAAATATTTAATTTTTTTAATAATTATTTTTTAATATCATCCTCTTATATTAAAAAGTTACCTACTAAAACAATTCAATTTTCCCAAAGCAGGAAAATGTGATATCCCCCTTTCGGGACAACACTGTTCATATAGCCTTAAGTATACTCTTGCATAGAAAATAGTTAATAATTTAATATATTGTTATATTATATATTTTTAGATACATGTCATTGAATCTGTACTCAGTTGCATGTTTGACAAGTGTATTTTTAGCAAAATTTAATACTAAAAAAACTGAAAAATGTATCGTTAATATAACGTCATTGTTTGGTATTGAGGCTAAACAATCAGTTGGTTATTACTGTGTTGGCAAGGCTAGTAGAGAAATGTATTTTCGAGTTTTAGCTAAAGAAAATCCAACTCTCAATATTCTAAGTTATTCACCTGGTAATTTAATATTATTTTATAGCTGCAATATTGAAAGAAGTGATCAATGATCTTTTATAATTTTTAAAATACTTACAAATGATAAAATACTTTAAATTAACAATGCTCATTAGTTAAATTTTTTAGAAATTTAATATGTTTTTCTTCCTTTTGGTGTAGTTTTAAATTATAGTTTCAAAATATAAAATAATAATGATAAAATTTTCATTTAGTCACTTCTTGCATAGCAGTGACTATGTTATTTATTATTTAATTAAAAACATGAATATATCAATTAAAATAATTTTCAATTTTATTTTTTCAAGGACCAATTTTGACTGATATGACTATGCAAATATCTGCCAATTGTAAGGATCAAAAACTTCGTGAAGAATATAAAATAATACGCGAGAGAGATTGGGTAAAAGTTGAAGATACTTGCAAAAAGTTAGTCAATGTATTAGCCATGAGGAACTATCAAACAGGAAGTCGTATTGATTATTATGATGTATAGTTTATAAATAATAATAATCATCTTTATCTTAACTTTGTTTAATCCACTTAAGTATTATATATAGATTTTAATTTATGAATATTATATAATTATCAAAATTTATCATAATGCTAATTATTCATTTTTATTTTAAATTTTTGTATTGTAAATTTAATAATAATACATTATTTATGCATTTGGTATTAGACTATATTATATTTATAGAATAAGAAAAGAATATAAATATTTTTTATCAAATTAATTGAAAAATATTCAGTAGTGTTGTTTTATTGTTGATATATTGAAAATTGGTTGAACATTTTATAATTAATCACATGAAAATTATCAGATTTTGCTAATAAATGAGGATATTTATAATATTTAGCACTGCTCCATTACTAAATATGCCACATCATTTTCAAATATATCAAAAAGAAAATATGAAATTTATTTATAATAGTTTTGTTCATTGATGTAGCAGAAATTGTAATCTATGGAGTTTAAACCCTGCTATTTTATTTTTATTGATTTATTAATTGTTACACAAATTCTTTTTTTAAATAATTGTTTGTAGTCTTGAAATAAATAAAAACAGTACTATGGGAGACTAAATAGTTGAAATTACCATAGATTCAAATTTGACAGTGATTAAAGTGACTATCAAAATACTTTTAATGAATTTTCTTAAGTTCTGTTTTACAAAAATAACTTTTTTTTATTAAGTTTTATGATACAAGATGTTTCATATACTTCATTTTTTAATCACAAGAGAAAATTGGTGTTAAAAATTATTACACAGTTAATAAATTTACTGAGAATTACGCAGTACTACGCCAAAAAAATGTCAATTATTAGCTATTATATCGATGAATATTGTTTTATAGTTTGTAAAGTAAAATATAATTAATATAAATACCAGTAGAATTGAAGATGCTTGATAGAAATTGAACTTATTACACAAGAATGTGTAAAAAATTAAACCTTTTAAAAATTTTAATTAATAAGCCTATTTTTTAATGTAATAGGTGGGAAAAAGTAGCCACATAAGCTTAATATTATTCAATATACCTATAATTTAAGAATTATATAGTTAGTAGCAATTACCTAATACACAACAATAATACATTATTAATATATTTTAAAGTTATTTAACAACCGAAATTTTACAAATAGGTACACATTTAGTTAAGTAAAAAAAAATACATACATTATTAGAATCTAAAAAATATAATAATTATTTTTTTGTGAGGGGGGAATAATACTAATTTTAAAACTTTATATCACATATATTAGACATTTTTATAATAGAAATAATTTATTAATATTCAACAAAATAATTTTAAAGATAATTTTAATTACAATATTTTTAACAAGTTAACCCTTGACCTTCATATTTTATCACTAGCTGTCTAATATATTTAATAGAAATTTCATCTAAACCTAATTGCTTTGCTTCTTGGTCAAATTGTTTAATTCCTCCTTGACCAACGACATAACCATTTAATCTAGCAGCAACATGAGAATTTATAAAATCAGCTCCAGTCAGAAGACCCAAATCTCTGCATAAACTTTTGTGTTGCTGTAATCTATATTTTTGATGGTAGCTACAAGTAAATAAAAAAATATAATTTTATGAATAATAATTGCTATAAATCCTTAATAAATATAAAATTTCTTACTCTTCTGCATTAAAAAATTGTTCAGCAGGTTGCACTTCAGTAAGTATATTTAAGCCTTTTTTTTTTTTTTCATTTACTGTCATCTCAGCTTCTAATTTCTGTTCATCACTATGATAGAAAATGTATGATGAATACTAAAAAATAATATTTGATTAATTTCAATCACTTAGAAAGTACAAAAATAAAAAATGATGTCAGAAACAGACTAATGCCTAAGTGACAAATAATCTCAATGATTTACAAAAAAAATAATATCATCCATAGCTTCTAAAAATTAGATCCTTAACCCAATTTTTTAAATTATTCTACTTGCAACACTGATTTTGGATTTTAAATGAAACTAAAATTATGTTGATACAGCTATATATTTTTGTCATATTTAAATATACTTATTGAATATACAATATGATATAAAAGGTGATCTATAAAGAATAAAATACTCTTTTTCTTGGTGCCTATTTAATATTTTAAATTTTCATAAAGAAATAATTGTTTAATTCAAACACTATAATAGTATTATTACGTACTATGTAGTTAAATTAATATTTTTTTTTGACCTTTGGGGTTAAAAAACATTATTTTAATTTTCATTATTGAGATCCCCTATTTTTAGGTTTATATTAAATAAACAAGTATTATATGAAAAAAATTGTTTTTCTCATAATACTTTTAATTTAATTATTGTTATTATTGCTCGTTTAAATTTAACAATTTATGAGCAATTTTCTGTTCATAAATTGTTGTTTAGCTTACAGTAGTCCTCATTTCTTCATTGCTTATAAATACATTTTTATTGACAATTGTCATTATAATATCTATCACTCATATTATCACAAATAAATACTAATTATAAATGATGACCTATTTATAATTCAAATGGTTGGTCAGATACAAAAATTGTAAGAACAAAATTTTTTGAAATTTTGTTATCATATTTTAATTAAACAATACATTTCTATACAAATATTGATAATATTAAATAGTTCTGAGAAAATGAGTATCTTATCCTTAATATACACTGTATAAACATAGAGTGGGGACTAAGTAATTCTAAAAACTCAGAAAAATTATATTTTTAATATAAAAAAAATGTGAACTATTATTCAGTGGTAAACATTAATTTAATAATAGAATTTTGTAAATACTGTACTTCTTTTAATATTATATCACAATACTTTAAACCAAAGTTAGGAATCAAAATGATTGTGTTTTTTAGAAAATTTTTACCATATTTCAAAAGTTAGTTGACTTATATTGAATTTATAAGAATAGTAACTGTAAATTTCTAAAGTATTATGAAAACTTTTTAAAACCTTAACTAAACTTAAAATTTGAGAGATAACAGATGAAGAACACAAGGTAGGTGAAATTAGGAGATCAGTGACAATAGGCCAGGACGTGATAGGAGAGGTGGAAAGTTTTAAGTATTTAGAATCAGTTGTGTAAAAGAGAGATGGTATTGACGAGGATCTAAGACACAGGAATTGTTCATAATAGACCAATAGGTCTGAGTACATGGGCATTATGTCAACCTCATTAATAACTAAAAAAACTAAACACACAAGATTAGATGGATGAGTGGAGTGACCCAGAAGATAGAATAAGGAACGAACATATAAGAGGAAGTATAGGTGTAGCATCAATCGTGGATAAGATGAGAGAAAATAGATTTAGATGATTTGATCATGTTATGAGGAGAGAAGAATCGGAAGATGTAAGAATAGTTATAGAAATGAATTTCGAAGGAAGAAGAGGTAGGGACGACCAAAAAAGAGATGGAGGGATGTTATTGAAGATATGTGATATGAGAATTGCTGATTTGAATGTAGATGATATGGGAGATCGTGTCAAGAGGAAGTTAAGGATGAGGGTGGCCGTCCCAAGTAGTTAAGAATAAGGCAAAGAAAAAGAAGTAAAAGAACAAGATAACAGATATTATAACAATTATAAAAATTTATACTTGTTTTGTAAATTTTGCAGTTGGATCATGATGGTCCCAAAACATTTTCAATAAAGTTTTATAAGATATAGTTTTTGGATCATAGACTATGTGAATAGCTTCTGTGTAGTCACCACTAAATTGGAATAAACAAATGAGTAAGTTAATATTATACTGATCAAAGTTGGTAATAACACTTACATGTTTCTGTAAGTTGGTGTAAATCCAATAGTACCACCAGCATAACCAACTCTTGTAGAAATGACACCAAGAGTAGATCCAAAAAGACTGTCTGGAGCCCAAAAACAACCCATAGCAAATGTTGCTTTATCAGATGGTATATCAATATCGTGTAAGGATGACATAATCTAAACAAGTTATTAATATATTTTATCAATTTAAATTAATATATATATATATATATATAATAATTAAATTAAAACATGTATATTAAAACTATTTAAATTAAAACAAATTATTGTAAAATTACATAAAGTATGCAACAATTAGTTAATTTTCTTTTAGGAGGGGGTATTGAGAGTTTTTAGGGCCACTTGTCATACATCCAGCATTCCATTCTGATTAAATGCTAGCATTTTTTAATCTGTTCTTTCTCCTAGTTCTTTTATATTATTCTTAACTACATCTTTCACACTTATTTTTGATTTTTTTTTTCTGTTGGGTTCTTCTCTAGAACTAAGTCAAACAATGGATTTTGGATTCTCTAAGCATGCCTATTGTGCCTCTTATTTCTGATTGATTCAATACATGATTGGTTATAGGTATTAAGACTGACTAAAACTCTTCATTTTTCTTTATCTTCCAGTCATTGATTACACTATCTTTCACAGATCCAAAAAATATCTGCAGAATTTTCCTTTCAAAAAATACAAGTCTACTATTATTGGTTTTACAAAGTTCCCAAATCTCTGTTCCATATATTACCAATTGGTTCTATCAAGGTGTATCTGATTATAATTTTAAATTTCTTGTTAGAGATTGAGCACCATACAACTTTGCTAGTCCAAAGAAGCATTTGTTTTTAATAAATAATATATCACAACTAAAATATGACTGATAAAAAATTATATAAACTATATAGAGAATGTATGAGTTATTGTAAATCAAAAGACAACTTGAAAATTATAATATAATTTTTTGGAAAATAACCAAATTATTTGTACAACATAGAATTACATACATAATATATGTATTTCTGTTATATGGTTATATAGTTTAACAAAAATATTTATTGTGTTGATTTTTTATCAGTTATATTTTTATAAAATTATCACAGGTATTTAGAATAAAATATTATTATTCATTTGGTTTATTAATTGTTATTATTTATTTTGTCTTTTACCATTTTAATTTAATTAAAATACATGCATAACTACAATAGTTATAAATGTAACTTGGATTGCATGTTTTTGCACTAAAACACCTTAAAAATTAATTGGTATACTATTTTAAAAAATGAATAAAATTGTTCTAAAAAAAAATTGTTATTTATGAACTATTGTTTGGTAAACCCTAAAAAAACTGTATGAATTATAAATTAAGTATGAAAAATGTAATATAAGAATTACCTAATTGCCTAGTTCAGATTCTATAATTGTTACAAAAGTTCAAGGATGGTTGATTTATTTGATAGCAGCATTGACCTATATTAGTACCCAAAAGTGGAAAAGAATTTAGAACAAGGTTAAATAAATAATAATGTCGATTTAAGTAAAGATATTTTTAATTAAAAATCATTTAAATTGTTTGTATAATGCAATTTTATGTGATATAACACTATAATTTGAAAATAAAAATCAAGTAAAAATAAATAATTAAAAATAAATTAATATTTTTCTAAATAATCTAGAGCTTTTATATTAATGTTAAAAGACTGTTTTTAAAGAACTTACTCTTACTTCTTTGCTCAAATTGAATATTTTTTTAATAGTTCTTAACATAAATTCTTTATGTAAATGTATAGAAATTTATACAGAATCAAGAATTAAAATTAGATATAAGATTAAAAAATTTTTTAACTTAAAAAATGATAAAATTACACTCTATAATGAATGTTCAAAGAAATAAATTACTTCGATAAACTAAACACAAAAAATAATAAATAAATAATGAAACTAAAAATTGTAGAGATGATGTAAATTAGTAATGACCAATAAATATCTATGTCTACTAAACATTTACCAGAGTATTATCAAAATAATTCGAAACCCTACCAAAGAACGGAGATGAAGGACTACTGAAATGAGGTCGCAATTTACGATGATTACGAAGAAAAAATATCTTATAACTGAAACATTGACAAATGTAGTAGGAATAATAATGATGGCTGATGTTAAAAGTCAACTATTAGAGTGACTACTACCAATATTTATGTTTCTCTATAATACACCATACACTTATCAATCATCAACTCAGATAAAAGAACGGGACACATAGATAATAAAGAACGGATAGATCCTTTCTATAGTTATAGATCACTGGATTTAAAAGAGAGCACTCTGGCGGACAATGAGCTAATGAGTATCGGGGCACATATACGATAACTTATAAGAATATTTTACAAAAACTCTTTAAGAGCTCAAAATAAAAATCTCAAATGTTAATTTCAATATTTAATAGCTATCTTCATAATAAAGGCTATTTAAAATAAAAAAAAAAAAAAAATAGCTATCCTATTGCAAATAAATTCATAATTCTTTTTTTTGTGTCTGTTACCACTTTTTCTCAGCTCTCACTGAACCGATTTCTTTAACCATTCGTCAAAAGATTACAAATTGTATCTAGTCGAAGACATTACCCTCAAAATTTGAAAAAATTTTCTTCGTTTGCCATAAATGGAGGAAACTTCCAAAAAAATTACAATTTTTCAAATAGGTAAATTTCGAATTTTTTTCAATTTTTTTTACTTAAAACTGCTATAACTTTTTCAAAAAATGAACAAATCAATACAACTATTTATAGATGCTTGATGTCTTTACCTATCATCTGGTACATTTTTTTTTATAAATCTGACCCTTTACCAGCCCACAGGAGGGGATTTAAAATGACAACTTTTTCACAAAAAATTTACTTTTTCAACTTAACTTTTGAAAGTGTTCCGGAAAGTTTGACACTTTTATATGTATTTTAAATTAAAGCTAATGTAATGTACTTTATAATGGGGAAAAAAATTTTCGGACTTTATTTTGTCTTCACGGTGAAAATGGCTACCAAATGCTATTTTTGTGTGAAAATTCTCGATTTTATTTTTTACATTTTTAGCTTTATAATGCTATAACTTTTTAAAAAATGTATGGATCAATACAATTTTTTCATGAGAAGTAGTATTTATATCTCTTTTTCATTCGACATACTTTATCTTAATCAGGATATAAAAAGGGAAATAGCAGATCATGCAACTTTTGGAATAATCCACCAATTGTTTAAAATTAAATACTATCTAAAGATTTGAATCGAAGGGTTTTTTATGATAGTGATTTTAATCACTGTCGGATATCATCTATACTTAATCCAACTAGGCCACGTCACCACTGTGCCGCGACCCCCATGTGATGGGTTTTAAAATTGAATTTATAAGAAATATTATCTTGTTATTATCTTCGTCTAGGATAAAGTTTCAAAATATTCGTCCCCTCCATAATATATATAGTGATTTTCTTAGTTTTGTATTTTCACCAAAATTCTCTTAAAATAAATCTCATGATTTATATTATGACAAAAAAATATATCAATGATGGAAAAATTGCTCAATAGTAAACTAAAGATATGCATTTTTTTTTTTTGCTTAATAAGAAAACTTATATAATAGAAAATATATATTTTAGTAACCTAATAGATACTTATTCACTCACGTAATACATTTTGTTATTCTATCGCATAATCTATAATTTATTATTGTTTCGTCATTTATTAAATATTTAGTATGGAATCCATTAAATGCAATAGTGTATTAAATTGATCCTAAAAAGTGTGAGGCTAATATAAAATTTATTATTATTTGTAAAGGAATTGGTTGGAGAAGTACATCAATTGTTTGAGTAGATATTTTATACAATAATTTTGTAATATTAAAATAGAAATATTTTTTATCTAAAAACGTCCATTTATTGTCCTCTCCTTTAAAACACTTCTGCTACTATCTGCTTGAAAAACTACGAGAATTCAACTTTTACAGAGTAAAATACCTATACATTATTTCTATACTCATTATGATAACGAAACGTCATTATGACTTACTGTATTTACTGTGAGTGATAACAAAAACAACAGTATTTTATTTTAACTTTTAATTTATGTTATTAATTTACTATTAGTCTTTATTTATTTATATTTTTTAACGTTTGTTAGAATTTAGTATGTTTTTTTTTTAATTAGTATTATTAAATTTTTACGTATAGTTATGTTATTGAATACAAATGAAAGTATTAACTATGCTAATTAGATTAATAGAAAGGAATGGTGTCATACACGTTACAAAGGTAGCCATCTGTTAGATGAAAATCATTTTATATTTGAAAATTCCAAATACATATTTTAAAGAAGTCAAAATGGATCATGCAGACCTTGTTTTGGAAATGACCCATTTAGAACGCATGCCTACTGCTGATAGATTGGCTTTAGCGAGACGACGCCGAATACAGCAATTAAGATTATGGGCTCAAAAAGACCGAGAAAAAATAAAATCATCTCCTTTACGAAATAATAAACATATATTTTTTAGTGATAATGTTATGCTTTTAGAGGCAGCTTCTCGAAATGATATTGATGAAGGTGTACTAACATTTATATATTTTTTTATAAAAACTTAATCCATAATACTTAATTGTTTTTTTAGTTAAAAAACTATTAGAAAAAGGAGTAAGCCCGGATGCTACAAATGAAGATGGACTAACAGCTTTGCATCAAGTAAAACAAATAAATTAATATATTTCATTATGTGATAAATATAACTAGAAAAATAATTTTGAACCTAAAATTTTTGATTTTTTTTTGTAAAGAAAAAGTTGTACTTAAGTATATTTATAATGGTATAATTTTAATTTATCAGGTATATTGTATGCTCATTATCATTCTTCTAGTTATTTTTATGCAAAGTAAATTTGTATTATGTCTCTTATTAACTAATAAAATATTTTCATAAAGTGCTGTATAGATGATAATGAACATATGATGAAACTCTTAGTAGAATTTGGTGCTAATGTTAATGCTGAAGATAGTGAAAAATGGACTCCATTACATGCGGCTGCAACTTGTGCTCATTTACACCTTATTAAATATCTTATTGACAAGTAAGTTATCCCAAGTAGATATATTTATCGAAATATTGGTACAAAAGGGACTTATTTGACCAAGTTCCTAAAATTGTCAATAGTATCCTTTAGATTCCATAAAAATTGTAAGCTGATTTTATACATATATATATATATATAGAGAGAGAGAGAGAGAGAATGTTTAGTTAGTAAGAAAAAAGGTATCTATTTTTCTCATTATTTGTAATCATTGATCTGTTTCTATACCTTTTGAATAATCTTTATATTTTTTAATTATGAAGTTATACTGACTTAATGAATTATATTTAATTTTGATGTAAATAATAAATTTCAATAAATATTAAAAATGCTATTTTAGTGGAGCTAATTTATTGGCTGTTAATGCTGATGGAAATATGCCTTATGATATATGTGAAGATGAATCTGCGTTAGATTTAATAGAAAGTGAAATGGCTAGAAGAGGTGTAACTCAAGAATTAATTGATGATACTAGGGCCACAACTGAAAATAGAATGCTTAGAGAATTACAATTAGCAGTTAAAGATAATCAAAGTTATTTGCTTGAATCATATGATCTCCAAGAAGCTACACCAGTAAATTATGAAATACAATTTTATCAAAAACTCAATACCATATAAATAATATTTTAATAAATGTATTTTTAGCTACATATTGCTGCTGCTAATGGTTATTTAAAGGTAGTTGAGTATTTATTGGACCACCATGTTGCAATAGATGTTAAAGATTCTGATGACTGGCAACCAGTACATGCAGCTGCTTGTTGGGGTCATGTAAGTTTCATATCTTTTTTTAATTTCTTGGAAATATCACTTTCATAAGTTTAAAAATGTTTACTGTTTAAATCTTGATGCTATACTTGAATTTATGTTTTAATCCAAAATGTATTATAAACATAGAAATCCTATAATCTTGTTAAAATAATAATAAAAAATTAATAATTTTAGCTTCAATGCGAAGCTGAGAAGGTATTGGTTTTACTATATGTTTTTTTTTTTTGTGTCTGTTACCACTTTTTCTTAGCTCTCACTGAACTAATTTCTTTCAACGATACGTCAAAAGATCACAAATCGTATCTAATCGAAGACATTACTCTCAAAAATTGAAAAAATTTCCCTCCATCCCAGTATATAGGGAAAATCTACAAAAATATTACAAATTTAAAAATTGCTAATTATCGACATTTTTTCAATTTTTTTTACTTAAAACTACCATAACTTTTTTAAAAATTACCGAATTAATATAATTTTTTTTATAGATGCATGATGTCTTATTACTAAATGCATTTACATTAGAAGCATTTTTTATAAAAAGACAGTCAAAATGTGAAAACAAAAAAAACTAAATAGCATGCATACTTTCAAATATTTATATATGACATTTTTATCTTAATGATATACCTCAAATATCTTCTACAATTCCCCGAACAGTTTTTTGATATCTTTTTTTATATTGCTAATCAAATTTTCTTTTCATATACAATTAGTTATGTCAAAAAAAAATAAATACTTTTCAATAATTAGATAGAAGTTTTGGAAATGTTAGTACAAAATGGAGCTGATTTGAATGCAAAAACTAAAAATGAAGAAACACCAGTTGATATTTGTGAAGATCCAGATTTACGTGAACGCATATTACAGTTACGCAATGAACAAGAATCTAAAAAAGATGTGCAAAAATGGAAAATAAGACGCACACAGTCTAATAAAACAAGAGCCCAAACTGTTAGAAGAACTTCTATTAGAGAAAAGACTTTAACATCTAAAAAAGATGCTGTAGAAGAAGCTAGACTAAGAATAGAAGCTCAAAATGTAATGAAATACTTTTAACTTATTAAAATAGTTTATATATTTTTTCTTATTATCTATTTAAAATAAAATTTTGTATTTCAGTTTGCAAAAAAATTTTCACGAACATCTAGTGATTTTGAAGGTGATTCTTCAATTGATTCATATGTTCCAGTATCAACAATTCCAACCACTGAACGATGTGAGCCTGAAGGAGAAAATTTTTTAATAGATGAAAAATCTCAATTGGAAAAAGTAGAAGTAACTCCAGCTACTGAAACATGTTACACTACAGAGAGTGATGGAAATATTAATATACATGTTTCTGTCACAATTAATGCCGGAACATTAGCTGAGTTAAAGAAGCAGAGAGCACAAACTCGTGCTTCATCAGTTTCTATTTATAATAATTCTGATTTAATAATAGATTCGGAACCTGCTTTTAACCGATTTGCAGGTGATACAGAAGATATTATTGTAGGAGATCCAATAAAAGTTAGAAGAAAATGTTGCATTATTTGCTAATTTAACAAAATATTATTATGCAAATAATATTTATTTATTATGCACTTTTTAAACACTTTGTGTTTTAAAATCATTTTATACTTATATTATAATTTTAACTATTTCCTTTTTTATGTACTTATACATCACTGAAACTATTTCCGTCCATTAAATATATTTTTGTAATATTTTTTAGACCCATTAGATTTAATTGTAGTCATTTACAGAACTGTGATAAATTTTTCTTATTATTTTTTTTATATTATTGTGTTGGCACAAATCAAATTTTTTTTATATATTTTTTCAGTATTACCTTTTTTATTAAAAAAATGTTACACTTATACAGTTAATCCTTATGTATAAAAAAAATATTTTTATGATTTTTTTTTCATTCTGAGTTAATAATTTTGTATTAAAGTTCTATTTTTGTATTGATAGTTGTAATTGATAATTATTTTGAAAGCATGCAATGGTAGTTAAGAAATTATTAAAGGCTATAAATTTGTATAATAAGATCTTAAATGACAAAAATTGAATTTCCAATAATGATTAAAAAAATATATTAATTTATACAGAATTAATTTTCAAACTCTCTATGTCTATCTTATTTTATAATAATAATTTAAGATGTACCACTGAAATATAAAATGATATTTAAAGATGTATTGCCAGAAGCATTGTGAATAAATAACCAAAAATCCATCTTGATTAAAAAGTAGACATTCAAATAAAAAGTAGAGTAAAAGAGATAAAAATATTTAGGGGTAAAATTATTTAGGCGAAAGATAAAATAATTGGTTTTTTATCTAGATAAAATGCTGATAAATTCCTATTATTCATTTATTAATCATATTTTTAATGTTTTCACTAATTCATTCAGGCAAAATAATTTCTATTTATTGTAAACAATAAAAAGAAAATTTTCCATCACAATATACATTACTAAAGCATATTTAATTTTCACTATTAATAATAAAAGATAAATAAAAATTAACTAATAATAAATACTACTTATTATAGTTTTATAGAAAATGTTATTATTTTTTTTGAACTTAAATGTGGTTTATTATTAATACTACCCTATTTTTTTATAATTAAAAATTGGCTAACGACTAGTGGCAACCATTCTTCTCTATTTAATAGTAAAAAAAAAAACTAATCATTATTTAATTTTAACTTATTGAATGTACCCTTAGGACTTAATAAACATAATATTTACAATGGTTTATAAAAATGAATAAATATTTTTGGAAATTAAAGTCAAAAATCATTTATTTTTTGATAAAAGTGACTAATTTTGACGTGTTTTGCAAATCAACGGAACATTTACATTACTAAAAACTAAATCAAATTTGAGGTGTTTTTATATACTATACGATTGAAAAAAGGAAGAAGTTTTCATAATTTATTATTGATGAGTAATCAATCTTTTAAGTTAAAAATCATGTAATTTTTGATAAATATGGTAAATTTTTTAAGTTTATTTTAAATACGCACCGAAGTGTTTAACAATAATGATTTTACTTATTGTCAGATATCAATCAATATTCCCAACATTGATTGCCAGCAAACAAACAATGATTTACAATTATTTAAACTTGAATAAATGATTTCTATAGAATTTACAATTTATGAAGTATGTAATACCTAAATCCTTACTATAACTTTTTATAGGATTTTTTGATAATTTGTAAAACTATTAGTGCAACTGTAAAATTATAATTATAGTTTACATTTTATTCACATTTAATCAAAAAATGTAACTGTTTAAAATTTATTATAGATAAAAGAATTCCGATGAGACTGAAAGGTAAATTTTATAAGACTGTAGTACGACCAGCTATGATGTCTGGTTCAGAGTGTTGGACGGTTGATAAAAAAGTAGAGCAGAGATGAGAATGCTTAGATGGATGAATGGAGTGACTAGAAAAAATAGAATAAGAAACGAGCAAATAAGAGGGAGTATAGGAGTAGCGTCAATCGTGGATAAGATGAGAGAAAATAGATTTGGATGGTCTGATCATGTTATGAGGAAAAAGGAATCGGAAGCTGTAAGAACAGTTATAGAAATGAATGTTGAAGGAAGAAGTGTAAGAGAAAGACCAAAAAAGAGATGAAGGGATGTTATTAAATGTGATATGAGGACGGCTGTAGTAAGCGTAGATGATGAGGGAGATCGTGTCAAGTGTAAGTTTAGGATTAGGATGGCCGACTACAAGTAGTTGGGATAAAAGCGAGGAATAAGAAAAAGATTAGTGTAACTGTAAAATTATGATTGGTAGTTTACATTTTATTCATATTTAGTCAAAAAATGTAACTGTTTTAATACTGAATTTATTATAGATATATTTGTATAGGGATAGCTTGGAGATATTTTTATGATAGCTATAGATCCATACTCTATTTCATAAGTTTGGATAATAGACTTGCCGGGAAACTTCTCTACCACATTGCTATATTTCTTCTTTGTCCCTTCAATACATTCAATTTATTTGTGAGGACTGCAAATTTTTCTATGTATTAGTGTAAATTAGTTATGTAAACTATGTTAATGATAATTTTTACCTTACGTTGTTCGCCCATGCGTACGTTTTCCGAATTATAATTATTATTTTAAAATGTACAAAAAAAATAAAGTCACAAGTATTTTCTTAATGCTCTTAATAACATTTTTTTTATTGTTGCACATAATAATATACACATGTATATAAACTTAACAAAAGATAAATCACAGGCGAATTAAACAAAAAAATAGTAAATGATTCGTATCACAACGGACGTCTACTATTATTTAATATAACCACAATTTAAATCTTAACAAAATTGTCGGAAAACAAACAGGCTTGTGTAATATTTGGCGGATTGTAGATCGGTAAATAACCGCCACACGGATTAAAATGATTGGATAATCATTTGAAATACAGACATTTTTTAATACTATATTGCTTTCATTCTAACTTCTAAGTTAATTTCATAAACACAATTTTTTGATTCACTACAATAATACTCGATATTACAAATGCAGACCGCGTTAAAAAAAAACTTGCGTAGCAGTAGGTATAGTTTGTGCCAAAGTAGGTGTGAAATACGTATATATTACAATTATTATAAATTGATTAATTATAAAATGCTAGTGCAAAATGCATGTTCAAATTTCCTGTCAATGTTTTATGAATTCATCATTTGCTTCACAGTCTTTAATTTAATGTAAAAAAAATATCATAACTAACACTGGTAACATTATTAATAATTTTTCAAGAGATAAAAAATCATGTTAGTTTTATAAAAAATCATTAATTGTAAATGCAATTGTCGAAATTAATATAGACCAATAGAATTGGTATATATAGACTGTATAATAGAAACAGAGGTAAAAAACAAATACTGATTATAGAATTTAGATTAATTCCAACTACTTTTAGAATAAAAAAAACTACAATATTATTTTTTTAAATGCATTAAATGTTTCTATTTTTCTTACAAACAGGAAAATAAAATTTTATTATAATAAAAGTATTTTTATACGATATATATAGACCGTAATTGACAATTTTCTTTCTACATATATTTTTATTGAGCTAACTACTAGTTGTTTCACTTCTCATATATTCAGACTAGGGTGTCCCCCTTCATCAGTATATGTGATCGATGAATTATATTAATATGTTGAGAGGGCAAATCGTCTACTAAAATTTGATAATTTTTCTTAGAGTTACTTCACCAGTGAATGAACAGTTAAGTGTTTTTCATCTTTTAAAGTTCTTTATCAATTTATATTTTGATGTCATAATTTTAAAGCTAATAAATGTATCTCGTCTGGAAAATTCTCTATAATATTATTATACAATTATTTATAATTAATAAACAAATAAATTTAAATTTATTATTTTATATTAAAAATTGGAATTTTCCAGTGAATGATCAGTTTATAATATTATATCAAAATTGTTATATGACAGTAGGAATTGATATAAATATTTTTTTGTTATAAAAACTACTAACAACAAATTGTTACAATCAGATTAGAGATTTTTTTATTTAAAAACTAAGTAGTGTTCATCATTGATGATATTGCCCTACTATGAAACGATATAGTTAATCAGTATTTGTATTATTTAATTTCATCTGTTTCTATTAACTCAAACAAACAGTTAAAAATATATATATACAAATCAAAATAGAAACATAAGAAAAAATTATTAAGAAATAGATAGTCAGAAATTTTGATTAAAATGATTGTGATGACACAGTGATAACATTAGAATGATTAAAAGCCAAAAGTGAAGCATTCCTTATATCTAATCTATGGCAATTAATCCCCTCATAAAGTCTAATAATTGATTTTTTACGTAAACTAATGATGATAAAATGAGCATTTCTCATGATTTATATTGTAAAATGTTCTCTTATGAAAAAATGAGAATCGCGTTAAAAAAAAATTATTCCTTAAATTATACTTGTTACTTAATATAATTAAATGTCGTCTAGAAGCCCTGTGCTTTCATACATTATGTATGTGTGCGTGTGAGTACAGTCGTTTGTTCGGACAAAATTATCGGGCTGTCCATTTATCTTATAGTAGTATTATAAATATAATAACAATAATAATGATAATAGTAATAATACTAGTAAAAAAGGCTTCAGAGCTTATTGTCTGACCGACTGTTTAAAACGATTACAAACAATTATTTCAAAGAAAAATTCACTGTAAGTTTATCGCAAACAATCTTACAGACGGCCGGCTACGAATATCTTTTGTCATCGTTGGCATCGTTCATTGGCGGAGGTGGTGGACAGATATATATGGGACCAGACGATTGATCTTGGAGAAGATCTTGAAGTAATGCGACTTCGACGGCAGTTGTGTCAATGACACTGTTGGAGCGCTGTTGCATAGGACTCTTACCCGGAGAACAATCAGACAAATTGTCTGGTATTAGTTTTTCAGTTTCTGGGTCGACATGTGTCATACGTCTTATACCTATTCTATGACTGGTAGGGTTGTTTTTTATCCCAACGGATGATTGCACCGAGTCTAGCTGTGATTGTGGATGGTTCATTGAGTTTTGGTGCCGTTTTAGAATAGACTTAGATCTTTGGTGCTTTTCTGGTGAATGGCTAATTGATTCAGCCGACACGGATGGTGATGATTTACCACTTTTTCCTAAAAAAAGATTAAATTTATTTATTTATATAAATTTCCCCATAGACATAGTCTATATAGGATACAAAATTTAATTTATAACAAATATAATACAATAAATAAAGATATAGTTAGATGTCACAATTAATAAATAAATAATAAAAATAATATTACTAACAATAAAAAAAAACCCAGCACAGGGGGGTCGCGGCACAGTTGTGACGTGGTATAGTTGGATCAAGTATAATGATATCTGACAGTGATTAAAATCACTATCAAAAATAAACGCTTCGATGCAAATCTTTAGATAGTGTTTAATTTTAAAAAAATTGGTGTTTTATTCCAAAAGCTACTTGATGAACTGCTGGTTCCTTAATATCTCGATTAAGATAAAGTATGTCGAATGAAAAAGAGTTTATTAAAAAATATTATTTTTCATAAAAAAATTGTGTGGATCCATAAACTTTTCAATAAGTTATAGCATTATAAATTTAAATATAATATGAATAATAAAATCGAGAATTTTCACACGAAAATAGCATTCGGTAGCCATTTTCGCCGTGAAGAAAAGTCCAGAGGTCAAATTTTTTTTTTTCAAATTAAAGTATATTACATTAGCTTCAATTTAAGATATATATAAAAGTGTCAGACCTTCCGGAACACTTTCAAAAGTTAAGTTGAAAAAGTTTTACTTTCTATATGCATTTTTTATATTTGAAGCCCCCCCATATATAGGGAAATAGTCTGATTTAAAAAAAAAGTATATGCAATGAAAGATGTATATAAATACTACTTCTCATGAAAAAATTGTATTGATCCATACATTTTTTAAAAAGTTATAGCACTTTAAAGTAAAAAATGTAAATTATAAAATCGA